CACACACACACACACACACACACACACACACACACACACACACACACACACGTACAAAATAAAACACTCCTGTAAACATCTAAGCAAACAATTTGTTTTGCTCCACTGTGACAAGGAAAAAGTATATATTCTGTTTTTGTGCTTTTGAATCCTAAAGTAATGACTATATTTACACAGAAAGACTGTTTTTTTTTTTTTTTTGTTGAATATTTTCCACATAATTTCTACTTACGGTCATGAGTGAAGCTTCTATACTGCTACATAATATGGTTTGTGTCTCCACTTCACATTACAATCCTCACGAGCTCGGCATTGGCCTGAAAACAAAGGATGTTGGGGACGGGGTTGCCGTAGTAACTGTCTTTTCTGGATTTCGCCTGCATCCATCTTCCTCAGCAGGTTCCCATGGTGCTGACGGTGGTGTAACTGAACTTGGACATGGACGCCCCTGTGGCCATAACGTCCTCCTCGTTGTCTCGCAGCCCTCGGCGACGGCGATGGCGGCAAGGGGCGGCGCAGCACGAGAACGTGGCGAGCAGGGCTTTGCGGAAACGCGTGTTCATGAAGCAGTAAATAATGGGGTTGACGCATGCAGAGGTGTAGATCAACAGGTGGATAAAAGCGATAGGTGCCCCCGTAAGAGCCTCGGTGGCGGAGGCGTCATCGAAGGCCCGCCAGGTGTTGACGCAGTACAGAGGCATCCAGCAGAGAAAGAACAGCACCACAATGACCACCAGCATGCGAATGACTCGCTTTTTGGCCTCCAACTTGGCCTCAGATGTGTTACTGCGGGGTCTCTCCGCTTTTATTGGTTTGGTCGATGTTGCGGACATGGTGGACATCTCCAGCGAGTGTGGCCGYTGGACCACGTTGACATAGCAACCATCTCCATCGTCACTACCAGCAGACACAGCGGAAGTCAGGCCGTTCTTCACATCTRAATAAAACAGCAAGGGAAAAAAGATTTGTACTGTATGTAGAACTTGGGAAAAACTCACTCGGGCAGAGAGGTACCCACAATTCTTCATGTTATAAATAATGTAATTGTCTTAGAATACAACTTTATAGACCAGGGGTTCTTAACCTTTTTGACATCGGGGCCCAATGTGTTGAACATAAAGTGGCACGAGGCCCAGTCAGACAYTACCAATGTACGGATCAAAATGATAATTATTCTAAATGTTGGTTTAATGTGTATTGTATTTGCATTATAACTAAATTAAATACACTTACAGTATAAAAGTAAAACTCCTTTCAAAGAATCACAAGACACAATTTTGACAAACATTATTTGATACTGTAACCTGCCCATAACAATTATTTGTCAACAGACCAGTATTGAACACGTCAACATTTTTCTCAGTAAATATATTACTAGAGG